TCAAAACAACTATGAACTACACTGCTCTGTAGTATTAGAATGTGACATCATTTGACACTGTCATATACAAAATTTTGGTCATGTTCTCAAGTTTGTTAAATATACCTTCTGCAGACTTTGTAGTAATCATCCTTTTCTATTTTTAAACAGTTTTCTTTCTCAAACATTCTTTGGGTACATTTTTCAACAAATTTTAAAAAAGAAAAAGAATGAGCAAAACCTGCTTGCTCTCTGATATAGTTTTGTTTTTAATTTTGATAACGTGGATTTTTGTCAGATTTTACTGCAGATTCAAAATAGAGGTTAGTTAAAAGAATAACTGAAAAACAAATAAGGTGAATGACTTTTAGCTATTTCTCAAATAGCATTATAACTAGCTTTTGTTCTCGCGAAACATATGGTCGAAATAGCAACAAATTGTTACTAACTAATTAAACTGTTTACAGAAGCCTAGATTTTGCAAAAGGCAGAACTAAAAAGTAGGTTTTATTACCTGCTAAAATGATTGATTCGCAGTAATTTAAATTCTTTTTCTGCTAAAATCTGCCTCGCATTTTCAGCTAGTTATAGAAATACACTGAAGAATCTGAGCTGTAAATGGTCAGTTTTCCTTTACTTGTCAAAAAATTTTATAAAACTGGAAATAAACGTTGTACAGTGGCGAAAAATTAGAAAATTTGAGGTTGGAATAATATTTCCAAACCCCAAGAAAAAGCATTTTTTTCCAATCTCTGAAGTTTCTACCAAACAGCTAAAATATTCGTGCAATGCTGAGCAGTAGATCTGGGTGTTAATAGATAGTGATAAAATTAGTCAACATCAGCGCTTTAAAAAAAGACTAATCTGTTACAATATTTTCAATTTAAACTACTATTTATCAATTAAAAAAAGATTGCTCCTGTAATTTTTTAAATCTTTTTCTACTACTGCTTTTCGACTCATTTTATTTAAACAAGTTCCACAGGTGCTCGTTTGTTTAAAAAACTTATAATTAGTAAAACAATTAAAAATTAAAACTTTTTACAGTACAGCTTAAGACATGTATACTTCAGCGTTGACGCGCTTAACTGAGAAGCAAGTGTCGATAAACCTAAACGCAACGTGTTTTCTCTGAATTGCGAAGGATTACACTAACAAAGTGAAACAGACTCATCAAAATTAGGACCATTGGCAAAGTGTGAAGAAGAAAGCCTGGGAAGCCTAGGAAGCGTTCAGTGTATGACAAATTAAGGGTTGCGTTGGTACGGTCATTGCCACTAGAATTGGACTGTCTCGGCTGTGTTGCAAATCCCCTTGTGATTTTGCATATAGGCTTAATTATTATAAAGTTGTGCTCACTTTTACTTTTTTAGATACCGTCGTAGTCGTCAGAGCCAGATATAATGTATTGTGACCACTTTTTGAGGACAGTAATTCGTAGTTTCACGAGGTTTCAGAAATCTATCATGATTTCCACTATGAAAGTGTATCTTTCTGCGGAACAGTTTTCTCTCGATAAGAGCTTTTGACTTCCAAATGTTTCTTTCTCACCCTCTGATTAAGGGTAAGTAAAACCGTTATGGGAATGCAATGTCTCAGCCAGCTACTGACATAGTTTTATACGCCACAAACGGTTAACTCAAATAAGAAGTTGTTGACTGCATCACAGATTTAGTATAATGTATTGGAAGTATTAGTACTTCCACTTTGAAAATTACCCAAAAATACTTCTTTCGAGCATTCTCCAATTAGTTACTACTTCATTTTACTTTATGTGCCACAGGTGCCAACTGAACATTTTGCACTTGTAGTTTAGTCTGTTGTTTATTTTGTTGTTTTTTTGATACCGACAGTCTGAAGAAGCGTACCATTAGAGGCGTCAAAATAAACAATATAATAAAATTCGATGGAAAGGAAGTGTGGCATGTAGATGCAAGGTATAAAAAGAAATGAATTTGCCGAGGAAATAAAAATTTTTATTCTTTGACTTGTCAAGCAATCATTATCAGCAATATACCGTGAATTTCCTGAAAATTCGATTGTAGACCACTCTCTTCGAGGGTTCTAAAAAGTGAACGGTCAAACGATGGAAAAGGTTTATTGGTCATATAAGCACCGCTGTTCTAACAAAAAGCATCTCCAACAAACTTTCTTGTAGTTAGCTCATAATTCAGTATCTTTAATTTTTGTAATGCTGTTTTGGTGTAATTGCAAAAAATTTGATTATCTCCAGAAATTTTACGCTGTTTTACCTTGGATAACATTAAACTTGTTGATAACCAAAAATTAACGTTACGGACTTTATTTGTATTCAGCTATACTGTTTTCATTTATTCTGTAGCCCGCAGTTTACCAATTTTTCTTTATTTGCATACTGCGTCAAATTAGTTGTATTTTTCACTGACCAAATTGATCACCGCCGCTTTCAGTTCTACCTTTCATGACTGCCTCAGAACTAATTGCTTTTTAATATTTTACGTTTACCCATTGGTTACTTATTTCAGACCAACAAAGCTAACCGCTACGCAAGGTGTTGAGATTTTAACCAAATGTTCTGCACCACTGTGGTTCACTTGCCGCAAGTTGCCAAAGCAGGTGCTGCATTTGTCATAAATATTAGAAAACAATTACTCTTTCTCCAGTCACCAACTTGCTGTGTGAAATATTAGTGGATTCTAAGTTCTGTAGTGTGGAAGCATGTACCTAGCCGCTTAGGCAAGAAGTTTTGCCTTGTATGTGCTTCATGACGTAGCAATAGACCAAAATAATAAGCAATCTTGAGAAGACTGTCTTCATACCCTTAAAATTCTCAAGCCTTATTTTTCTTTTATCCAAAGTCTGGCAACAGTAATGATTATGTAGTTCCTGAGTGTTGAGTGCCAATACGCAACTGGAAATTGACTATCACTAATTCAAATGAGCGAAGTGTTTAGGCTTCTCCGACTTTCCTGGGAGGGTAAGGTTCTCAAACTTGTAACACGTAAGAAGTAAAAAATACATTTCTAAAAATATTAAATTGAGAATTTCTGGTTCGCAGTGAAATAAGCGGTTATTACTTTTGTAAAAGAAAAAGAAGCAAAAGATGGCAGCACTTAAATGTTGTCAGCAAACCTTGCACAGTTCACCCCTGTAGATCGACTAAACTTTTCATCTGCGAAATGCTTGTCTTGATATTGTCGCCGCCAAAATCGCAAAAATCTAGACGCAGTAAGGTAACAGTGAGGAGCGCGAACAAAGAGAAACTGGCAGTCAAGAAAGATCACCAAGTACAATTGTAGCTGGAGATTTAAAGATTTAAATAAGGACTTATTACAATGCAACATTGAGTTTACTAAACTAGAAAAATGCTTAACGTCTAAAAGTCATAAACGTTGAGAAAACAAAACATTTTACTTCTGCAAAACCACTAGTTTTTGGTTAAAAAAAAAAGGAATGTGAATACGGAATTCACAGTATGGCTGTAGGTCACAACTGCTGAAGCAGGTGTAAAAATAATAACAGGTTTAACAGTCAAAGTTATTTGACTGCCTTCTACATAATGTACTTACAAAATGGAGACGAAATCATCTTCCCTTCTCGATGTTCCTTTAAATCGTTAGCAATACCATTCTTCGCTTGCGCTCATAACAGGATCGTGTGCTTGTTTTGTATTGTTTCGTTGTCTCAGATAATTTTTTCTTCTATAAGTGAATTATTGCCGTGAAAAGTTTAATTACTCAAGTCTGAATTTTGTTTAGCAAAGTACTGTAAACCGATAAGTCTCTCCTGTTGCAGGCATAAAATTGCACTCAGAAGTTCCACTGACAACAAAAGAAATTTTTTTTTTGGTAATTCTTTGATGATTTCTCTAGACATTTTGCTTTCAATTAATTTTTCTAAATGAATTTTGATAAGTTTTATAAACACTTTGCTAACGTTACTGGTCTACGCTTCCCGTGTG